TGTTAGTATGTTCTGTATTAATAAAAATGAACAAAATTAATTTTGCTATGTTCAGGTGTCTTGCTAAAATAACAGTGCCCCAGTGTTGTTGCAGGTGTTTAGCACTAAGTTGTAGCCCAGGCTCAATGAGTCCAAATTTTCACATTTCCATGCCTAGATTTGATTGCCATATGTGAATATGTTGATCACTCTGATAGCATTAACTGCAGGATTTATGCATGTTACTGAGAAACATCTGTTCTTACCAAGAAGTGGTCAGATTATAACCTGTTATAAGCAGACAGGCTAAATTTGGTATTAGATCAAGGGAAACTTCTGGTAAATAGAAAATGAATAACTGGTATAGAGACAATGATGACGAAAATAATGAATTGGGCAGGGACACAGGAAATGAAAAGCCAGACTAGCAAAGAGGAGCAGCTGAGTGGTAGGCGTAACGACTGCTGTTCAGCCTGCTTGCCCCCTGTCTTGATGGAAACACTGCCTTAGAATTATTGTACCATCCTTTGTTGGTTAAGCTTCAAAGTTCTGTTCTTTGCCAACATGGTTAGTTTGAGGGGAGGGTGGAGGGACTAAGGAAGTGCTGCTTCAAGAAGAATTTGGTGCATAAATGTTTGTTGTAGTATTTGGATAATCTAGTAAAGTGTTTTAGAGCCCCTTTTTAGCCCATGCCCCCTTCAATAAACGTAAAAATCACATTTCCCCTAATGTCATTTGAAATTTCAAAATAAATATCATTTAAAAATAAATAGATATCATGTCTAAAATCACATCAGACCATGGTGACCTTATTTTCTTTTATATATGTAAAATTTGTCAAAGTAACATGTGTACACAGTTAAAAAAAATCTAAAGGCCTTATGATGAAAAACAGCAGTACCTGTCCCAACTTTCTACCTTCTAGAGACAATTACTTTGACTTCAAAAGTTGTTACTTTTGGTATTTATCTTAGTGTATCTAAATTATATGCCTGTTCTACTATTGCTTGATTTAACAGTTTTAGACATTATTGTCTTCTTGATAATATTACCTGATGATGTAGCTAACACACATAATTCCCCTTCTCCCATTATATAGTTATAATATTTAATAAACACATTAGCGGTTGTTTAATTATGACTTTAAAAATACTGTATACTTTAGAGCAAAGCAGAGCACCAAGATTATACTTTGTACACTTTATTTTTCCTGGAATTAATAATCACCCCACTTTTAACATCAACATAACTTTCTGGAAGCCTATCTTAAAGTTTTTCCAACTTTTCTATCAGGTCCACCCTGTTCTTATCACTAGTCTTTTGAAGGTTTTTTGTCCCCAAATACCTGATAACCTGATTCCCTGTTTTTGCTAGAAAGATCTATTCTGCATTTGTCCTTCTCTGCCAATCTGTACAGGTGGTTTTTTCAGACAGCTACTCAGCCATTATCACCTTCCCTCTTTTTGTCACCCTCCTGTGTTGGATCTGCTGTTTCCTAGTTCACTCTCTTGTTTACTGGAGCTATTTTCAGTTTTTCGCGTAGGTGACTTTCCTTGTATTTCTGGCTAGTCTCAGCAATCTATCATGTATAAATGGACCCCCAAAACTCATTGAAAGCCCTTTGTTCGTGGGCAGTGCTTGACAAGTGATGGCCTCAGTAGCGCAGTGCTGCTCAAAAATGCCACTGAGTGCATTATTTGTTCCTGTTCATGATAAAATGCTTAGACAAGTAATAAATAGTTGGCAGGTCAGCAACTGTAGGTAGACTGAATTTTGAGAAGCACCGCATTAGGGAATGACTGTCAGGGAGCCAGTCATTTGGCTGGAGGCCTTTTCTGTGGGACTGTTCAGTTTCTCTGGGGAAGAATTCTCTAGTCTTCTGCAAAAGGAAGGGGTTGAAAGAGGCTCTGTCTCTTACTGCTTTGAACTCTCTGCTTCTGCCTTGTCTTCCACCCCAGCTTCTGTTTTCCACTTCACATATTTCCGCTATACCCATCCCTTTGCATATGCCTTCCACCTAGTTGTCTCCCATTACTTTTTCCAGATAAAAATGTTCTTGCCTTCTACCTGTGGGAGACAGTGACCGAGGTGAGAGACTGTATTTGGCCGAGAGGGGTAGGGCAGAGATTGCAGGGAGCTGACCATTCTGTTGTATATAATTTTCAACTACTCATTTTCAGGCCTGTCCCTTGATTCCACTCTTTGCTATAAATTCTGCTTTCAAGTCTGAGCTTCTCAGGGGTTTTAGAACCAATCAACATGCTTCTCACTGGTATCCATCCCCCTTGCAGTCCCTTTAGATTGTGGCTTCCTTGGTCCTGCTCAGCTATATCCCATCTGCTTTCCGTTTTCCAGAAATCTGTTGAAATTGATTTTCTGTCTCCTCTTTGGTCGCCATCCTTTTGGGCTGTCTTTTAAGAAATGTTTTTTAGACTGTCATACAGTAAACTTTACTTTTTGTACTTGTAGTGTACAGTTCTGCGAATTTTAACACACGCATAGGTTTGTGTAACCATTTTAGAATACAGAGCAGTACCAAAACCTCCCAACCTCCCTTTTACTATACATCTTTATAGTCACCCTTCCCTCCACCCATAAGCCCAGGCAACCACTGATCTCTTCTCCAGCCCCATAGTTTTGTCTTCTGGAATGTCATAAATGGAATCATATCATATGTGACCTTTTGAAACTGGCTTCTTTTACTCAGCATAATGCCTTTGAGATTCATTTAAGGTGACGTTTCTAAAAACACCTCATACGAACAAACCTATGGACACCAAGGGGGGAAGATGGCGGGGTGGTGGTGGTGGTGGGATGAATTGGGAGATTGGGATTGACATATACACTAATACGTATAAAATAGATACTGATAAGAAACTGCTGTATAAAAAAAATAAAATGAAAAAAAACTCATACCCTTTCAATTCCTTTTCTTTCATTTTTACCGGAGTGATAGGACAAACAAACTCTTGGGGCCAAGAGTTGAAGTACCTTTTGGTGATCTTAGTACATTTTGAAAAACTATGTACTTTAAGTGACATTAATGGGAGCTTGTCTGTATGCCACAAGCTTTTCTATGCAGGGTGATGTGCCAGAAGATTGAACTCACCATACATCACTTTCACTGTCAAGACTTATATGCCACTTTGTTTCAAGGACAAGCAGTGCAGAAAGAAATAGACTTACAATTATATGTCAGATTGCAATTGAATCAGTGGTCTAATCCCCAGGGTATGTTGTCATTCCTTTTTCACGACAAAGCTTGTAAAAGAGCAGTTTCTATTTTATTACTATTTTCAACCTCAGCCAGGCTTTCATCCCACTATTGCACTGTAGTCTCTTCACTATCAATCTGCACCTGAAAGATTCAGAATACGGTTTTTAGAATCAGGCTGACCTGGCTCTTAAATACATAAACTGTATCTTCAGATTATTTAATCCCCTAAATCATTTACTTTACCATTTCCTTGTCTGTAAAATGGGGATTTTAATACCCACTTGACAGATATTGATTTGAGGAATAAGGGAAGTGATAGATGAAACTCATTTAGCACAAAGTATAGAAAAATGGCACTCAGTGAACGACGACCACTCCCTTCTGTCAAATCAAGGGAACTTATCCCATCCTAGCCTGGTGTTTCTCTTATATTCCTCGATGTAGTGAATGGTAGGTATGACCAACCATCTTATGAGTTAAGCCAGAAATCTGCTCTCCTCCCCAACTTCCCAATCCAATAAATCACTACATTCTGTTGATTTTTGAAGGTACTTCTTCATTGTTGGCTCTCTAACCCGTCCCCTTATCTACATCCCTTTAGCTACATCTCTTTTGCTGTTGACTGACTTCAGGTTTTCTTTTTTCCTTGGATTACTATAAGTACCTTCTAATGGACCCTCTGTCCTGGTGACTCATATCCAATCCAGCGTTTCACTACTACCAGAATGATATTGAAATAGAGTTCTGATTCTTGACCATTTGCCATTTAAGCCTTTATATAAATTTATAAATAATTGGGTATTAAAATCGGTGAGGAAAGTAACTTGAACTGGGAACAAGTAACTTGGTGGGTCTAAGTCTAAAGATTAGAAGGAATAATAATTTCAATATTACTAATTTTATCTACACATTTCACCTATGCTGAACCCGTACATCATCAGCTTTCTATTTGAAATGACAGTGGAATAATTATGAGTTTGTAAAAAGGTGGACAGACATTTACTGTGGTATAGGGTGGATACTTTTGTATTTATACCCGCTTGAGGGTGGCCATTTGTAACAGACACTTGTAATGTGGCATTATTTAAGCACAGTTGGTATCTGTACAATAATTGCTGTGCCTGGCAACTCCAACCATGGAAAGTGCCCTGCTAGCCTGAGGCAGCAAGACTCCGGAGTCCAGATTTGCCCTCCCATTTCTGGTCCCCCAATTAAAATTTCCCCCTCTTTTCAGCGTTTTCCCAGACTCAGAGAAACGAGTGAACAGCTTCCACACTTTCGCGACACTGTGGGAGAGCTTCTTGCATGGGGAGTTCTGCAGCACCCAAAGGTGCAGCAAGATAAAAAGTAGTATCCCGACGCAGCTCTACACAGTACACTCTCAGCACACGGAACAGTAACGTCCTCACAACAGTGGAGAAAACTGATTGTATCCCTGTAAGAGAAGTTATACTTTTTGTTTTGTATTTCATCCAGCTTCACAGTTTAGAGTTCGGCCAAACCAGCGTTCTAAACTGTGGCTCAAAGGTTGCTCAGAGTTTTACGTCTTCTCGTTCAAAATACACACACTAATTTTCTTCGATAGCCTGGTCTCACATTAATTTTATCTGAGCTAGTTAAACGAGTACGTAATGCCTCCCTCCCTGCCTCTCAGGTCTCAAAAGTCGTTCCTTTACCCCCAGCCTCCGCTCCCGGGGTAACCGGCGGCTCAAGAGCGAGGTCGAGGCGCAGAGACAGCCCGCCGGCTAGAGCGGCCACAGCCGTCCGGCCGCTCTCTCTTTTCTTCCGCTCTCTATGGTTAGGAGCAAGTCCCTCCTTCGCCCGGAAGTATTTAGGCTCCAGGCGCTGCGCAAGGCCAGAAAGTAGTTCCGATTCCGGCGTGTGGATCTTCGTTCCTGGTGTTCAGTTGTCGCGGTTGGTGGGCAGTAACGGAGCCAAGATGCTGCGGAGTCTGCTGGTGAGTAGCTTGTCGGCTGGCATTCGGGATGTGGGGCGAGAGGGTTGGGAGCGGAGGCTAGAGGTTCGCGACAGGAAAGCCTCTCGTGGGAGGGAAGGAGAGAGGGAGAGGGCGGCTTCGGAGGTCACCTTCCTTGGTCCGTGTCCTTTTCGCTTGACCTTCCTTCCCTTCCATGGATCACTCTTGCCCCAAGCTGTGCTGGGTAGTTGTAAGGAGTGGAGAAGCTGGGGAGGTGACCAGAGGATTGTGCGTTAGACAAGCCTTGGGTTCTTAGTCGCCACCCCTAATCTTGTGGGTGCGGGTGGGAAGTTTCTGATACCCGGAAGCGTCAGCAGAAGGACGTTCCTCGGATACCGAGGGGTTTGAGTTTCAGTGACTCTGAGGTTTGTGAGCAGCAGAAGGCAGTTTAAAAAGCAAGCCTTTCTGTTTTGGCTGGCACTTTAGGAGCATTCATGGCCGAAGGGTCGTGTTGCTTCCATCAGGCGGTTCTGCAGTGTCCTTCACCGCTCCACCGACTTTGAGCATGAGAAATATTTTCCCCAAATTTTGAAAAAGAGAAGGAAAATGTAACAGTGATCGTTTTCTTCGGTAATTATCCAATAAAGCTTTACTTATCTTCTCAATATATTATTTATTTTAGAAAGTGGAGTGCATATTTGTAATTTATTTCAACTGGATATGTAATGCAAGTCTCTTGTAAAAGATTTATGCCCTATTAATTCTTTGGGGAAAATGTAATGAGGGAAGCATTTTAATTAAGTAGGAATCATGCCAGTTTATTTTGATATCAAGTAATAGATTTTTAATAATATGGTAGAGTATTTAAATAAAAAACTTCGAACCTCGTGTATTTTGTAACCATTCTTTATTTCTGTAATATCTATATAGCAGTATGTTTTCCTCATATAATGCTACTGGTTCAATTCAGGTAAAGATCATGATTTTTTTCCCCTCAAAATCTACATGATGAATTGCTTCTTAAATGTGGTGTTTGGAGACTTCAGAATGTAATATAAAGAGCAGTGGCGGGGCGACAAATAGGAAAACCTCAGTGCTTGTCTGTGACTTTGTTATTGACAAATCGGATATGTTTTAACTCTCAGTTTCACTTTTCTGTAATACTGAAGATTGGAAATGGTTGGTTTTGAAGGTTTCTTTAAGCCCTAAGTCTGTTTAGTATATGTGGATTTTTTTAAATTTCAGGCTCTTCGTCAGATTGCCCAGAGGACCATAAGTACTGCTTCACGCAGGCAGTTTGAAAATAAAGTTCCAGAGAAACAAAAGCTCTTTCAGGTACTGAAGTATTTTATAGGAGATTGTTACTTGTTATGATTAGATTACCAAAAGTTGGCGATAGGAGGTAAATCTGGAGACGTCTGATTGTTAACACTCCTGTTGTATTAGCAGAAGAGTAATAGGAAACTGTCTGTCGATAGCTAACTGGGCATTTGCTATAACCAAGAGGCCCTTGGGAAAGCAGAAGAAATGAAGGGGTAAAGATCAAAGACACTTTCTTTTGGAGGAGTCACATTGGGTTGGCACTCTGGGGTAGCTGCACAGTAATAGACAAATAGACCATAGAAAGAGCCCAGAAACAGCACAAATACATTAATATATGTAGAAACTTGATATATGTTAAAGGTGCTATTTCATATCAGTGGGGAATGGAAAAATTGGGTGGCTGTTTTTTTGTGTTTTTTTTTTTTTGCGGTACGTGGGCCTCTCACTGTTGTGGCCTCTCCCGTTGCGGAGCACAGGCTCCGGACACGCAGGCTCAGCGGCCATGGCTCACGGGCCCAGCCGCTCCGCGGCACGTGGGATCTTCCTGGACCGGGGCACGAACCCGTGTCCCCTGCATCGGCAGGCGGACTTTCAACCACTGCGCCACCAGGGAAGCCCTGGGTGGCTGTTTTGAAGAAAGTAAAGTTATATCCGTTCTGTATTGTGTGTTAAAAGATTAACTGCAGATATAAATACTTCTCCCTCAAAAAATATTAAAAGAAAATATAGGAGAATTTTTTTCCAGCTTACTGAGGTATGATTGACAAGTAAAAATCGCAAGCATTGGAAATTCCCTGGTGGTCCAGTGGTTGAGAATCCACCTTCCTATGCAAGGGACGCGGGTTTGATCCCTGGGGATGGGGGAACTAAGATCCTTCCTGCCCCGGGGGAACTAAGACCACACACTGCAACTACTGAGCCCACGCACCACAACTATAGAGAGGCCCACGCACCACAACGAAGATCCCACGTGCCGCAACTAAGACCTGACACAAAGAAAGAAAGAAAGAAAGAAAGAAAGAATATAAATAAATAGTTTGTATTTAGGTTGTACCTGATTTTTTTTTTAAGGTGTACAAACAATGTGATATTTAATGTATCTATGAATGATTACCACAATCAGGTTTAATCTTAGGGGTCATCCTAAGAAAGTCTTTACAAAGCCTAGAAGCTGTAAAGGAGAAAAATTGCAAGGTTTGGTGACACGAAAATTTTAAATGTACTTATGGTACAAATTGAGGGAAGTGACAAATTGAGGGAAAATTTTTTAAATTAACAAAATTTTTAATATTAACAAAAAGTTAATAACCTTAGCATACAGAGAGCTCCTACAAATCAGTAAGAAATGCAAATTAAAATGACAAGTTGCTACTTTTTTTCCCTGTTTGATTGTCAAAATTTTAGAAGATTTAAAATAGGTTATGTTAGCCAGGTGTGGGAGATAAGTGCGTTCCTATGCAGTACATTGATACATGCTAGGAAGTAGTATTGGTACAGAAATTTTAGAGTATTTGAAAGTATTAGAAGCAAATTATTGTACATATCCTATTCAGGACTCCCATTTTACGAATCTTTCCTACAGAATAGTAGCATAAATATATAAAAATAGGAAATAGGCTATTAATCATTATGGGAGTTTAATATCAAAAAACCCAACAACCTAAATACCCATTAATAAAGGATTGGCTAATGTAATTTTATTTTTTGCACAGTGGAATGCTGTGTAGCCATTAAAAGGAACAAAGTAGGTTTAAATGGGCTAGATGGTTTTTAAGATAATGTTGAGTGAAAAATCTATGATAGGCCATTATATAGCATAATCTCATTTTGTGTATTAAACAAGTATGTGCATAAATTAGAAGCTATGACAATACAAGCTTTAAAAAATTAAGGATATGTATTAATATGTGTTAATAGTGGTTTTCTCATGAGGAAAGACTTAGTGGGACAGAGCACTTACCTTTATAAGTAGTTAGGTTATCAGTGATTTTTTTGTTTAATTGTGATCTCTGATGTTTCATAAAGAAAATTTTAAGTGGTTAAAAAAAAGTATCACGTATGCTGCATAAAAATAAAATACTTACATTTAACAGATGTGTTAAGTATCCTACTCTATGCCAGGTGCTGGATTGGGAGACTAAGGATATAATTTAGGCTTATAAACCAAAACTCTCTCTCCTTTTTTTTTAAGGGAAAAAAAGATCGTACCTATGACCAAAGTGTGATGATTATTGCTTTTTTAATAATTAAATTGATGAACTCAATGAATATATTTTCACAGCTTTACTGTTTATGTGTTCTTTGGAAAGAACATTTTATTAGATCTCAAATTAACTTTAAAAGAAAGAATGTTGATTTTTAGGAGTTTTTATTTTAAAAGTAGTTGCAGTAGAGAAAGATTCAGGAAAAGGGTAGTCCTTTTTAATTTTGATATTTAAAATATTTCAATTTCAGTGTTTTAAGAAGCCACTTAATTTTATATGAATGGATTAGTCTTTTTCATTTAGTTGGAAACCAATGATATACATTAATTATTATTTTTTGAACCTAGGAGGATAATGGAATTCCAGTGCATCTAAAGGGTGGGATAGCTGATGCCCTCCTGTACAGAGCCACCATGATTCTTACAGTTGGTGGTAAGACATTTGGAATGCTTGCTCTATAGCAAAATCATAGTAGCGATAACTAACATCATTGCTCTCACTGTGCCGGTATTTTAACACAGGCAGTCTGTCCCCAGAATCTGAGGTCTTACTGCTTTACATATAATGACTCACAAAGGTGATTGATACATATTGTATAAGAACGTTTTAATGTCTTTTAAAAAAAATAAACCGATAAAGTTTGATAATTATCTTGTGATAGAGGTGGCTTTTGGAATGTGCCGCTGGTGGCCCTGCAGGCCTTTGGAAGAGCCAAAGATAGCTGCTCTATCCCATCTCCTGTAACAGGGGTTCTTAAATATTTTGACTATGATGTATAATAATAATACACTTTACATCTAATCCCTGTACATACATATTTATGACAGAGATAAAACCTTATACAGCACAGTACTTTTACTGCATGTAAAGTGCTTTGATATTTTTTCTGTGCATTGGGCAGTTCCATTGTTCAATATTAGCAGTGGAATATCACAAATTAGCATGCTAGGAATCTGAATGATTGCTCCCTGGCGGGAGAAAGGGAAACAGTATTAGAGTGATTACTGTGTGCTCATTCTATTGATAGGAGTGCCACATATGTGGATTTCTGTAACCCTTGTATTAAGTCTGTAACGTATCCTCGTTTTAAAGATGGAGAAATTATGTCAATTACCCAGATAATATTGCTTTGGAAGAGCTGGTGTTTGAACCCTCATCACCAAGTCCCCTTATGCTTATGCCAGGGTGCCTTTTTTTGGCTTGAATTGAATGCAGTGAAGGGACATTTTATGGACAAGAAGCACATAGTGACGTTTGGGCTTTCTTAAGGTGAAGTCCTAAGTTCTTTTTGGCCAGTGTGACTATTTCGTAGACGTTTTGGTAATTAGTTTTAAAAATAAATTTCCAGTTATTAGAAATTCTTACTTCAAATTTGATTATTTAAAAATTATATGTCCCTCTTGCTTGGTTTTATATTGATAATACACTTCAGGGAAGGCTTTGCCTATTTGACCTTTTGGCTTTTGAATCGTTCTTAGCATTTCTCAGGCAATTTTAGGTTTTATGTTCTTAATCTTATTTTAAATGTTTTTACATGTCATTACGTTAACAAGTACCTTACTGTGCTGCATCCAACACTTTCTATACAAGTTAAGTAATATTAAAACTAGATTAAACATGTTTTGTGTGTATTTATTTTAAATTTTGCCAGCACCTATCAAAATACTTCTGTATATTCCCATAAAAGTAGTTTTAACACCAGCCTTGCCTCTTTATCTTACAACTTTTTAGCTGGAATGTTGGGTTTATACATTTAAACCTGAGAATTTCCTGTTAAGTTCTTATTTCCTTTATTTTTCAGGAGCAGCGTATAGCATGTATCAGCTGGCTGTGGCTTCATTCCCCAAGAAGCAGGGTTGACTTCAGTTTATCCTCCCAGCAATCGGTTGGTTCAACTCCATTCAGTTCTCTGTGGACCAGTAGTCTGATAACTAACTTGAGTTCTTCTTTGGGGATCAATATTTATTGACTTGTACTAGCTGCCACCAATAAAGCAGTCTTTACCATGCTTTGTTTTATTTGATCGCTTTAGGATACATTATACCAGCAATAGCAGCCTTATAAACCTTAGGTAAGGAGGAATCTTTTGTCATTAGGTTATATATAGTACCATTGTGGTATTATTTTAGTGAAATTTTATTTTTAGCAGCTTAGAATTCCAACAGGGGATGGTCTTCAGCTTTAATTGAGCTTGACACTCGGAGTGCATATTTCTTTGAGTCTTCCCCTCCCCTCTCTTCCCTGCTGTGCTGTATCCTGGGATATGCTAGCACCTAGGGTTAGTGGAAGCAGGTTAGTTTTGGCTCATGGGGTTCAAGTTTCTTTTTTCCTCCCTTAGCTGTGTGTGTTTATGTTTAAGAATATTGGATGTATTCCACAGTTTAGAGTAGGCTTTAGTAGAATTGCTGTAAAATAATCCAGTATTTGTTCTTTTCACACTCAGAATGGGCTTCTGTTATGTTAGTTTAATCCAAAACATACAGTGTACCTTTCCTTAAAATACTTAGTTCATTTGTAAAAGTTATCTTCTGGGGGAACGGAAGGAGTCAGACTTTGTCATCTCTGCAAGGTGTGCATTTGTAACACTGTGAAGATTAAGAGTCTAGATCCGTCAGATCTAGGGGAAATCTATGAGTAAGGGTTTTATAAAAGCTTCAATTTCTGGATAAAATTGAGAAAACTAATACAGTTAGAAAAATGGAGTCAAGTCTGAAATACCAAACTAACTCTTTTCCTTTTAAAACATTGAGGCTTATGGTACAAATCCATTTCAAGAGGTACCTAATGAAAGGTGTTTCAGCCTTGAGTCTTGAAAGTTAGAAAGGTCTTGGTTAGCCATATATCTAAAACTTTTTTTTAATGCCAAAATGTTCAATTAACATGACAAGATTGGATAAAGTAGGAGTAGGTTAAATGCTTAAGAGACTTTAAAATATTTTTAAATGCTATGATTAAGTTTTTGCCCTTCATCCTAAAATTCTGAACTGTCAGCAGGGGTGGAGATGGGGAGGGGACAAGGGGTGAGGTCTCAGAAGAGGGGTTGCTGGATAGGAGCTCGTGAAATTATCTGCTATTCTTAGCGTTTAGTAAGAGAGAGATTGCTATTATTGATTCAAAGACTAACCAAATGTTCATAGAGCAGAGTCCATGAGAAGTATTGCAAATGTGGCCTTCAGGAAACGAACAGCTATCATTCCAATCTCCTTTGTATCTTTACCACGTATTATCCTTTTGAGAATAGTATCTGCCACTAAATAGAAGAAATTCTCTGACGATATTATCCCACTAATATAAGCGCCATGGGAGATATATTTAAGTGAAACTTTGTCACAGTTAGTACTGTGCTCAGGATTGGATCTGTGGTCTGGCTACTCTAGATGAAGTGACATCGAAAAAACTAAAACTCAGGGCATGCAGTTTACCCAAAGCTACAAATAAATGGCAGCACGATTTCCAAGTCCATTTTTATCTGATTCTTAAAGTTCATGGTCCTTGTAGTATACTTCATCTTACCAGGTGTTTAATTACATGGGCTGGGATAGCTTCAGTGCACTGCTGGTAGCCTCGTATGCAGGTAGGAATGCCCTACAGACTTCCATCCCCTGTCCAGTCAGACTTCTGGGAAGAGTGATCGCTACAGTCTCCAGTTCCTTTATTCAGTTGCACATTGATCCCTCTGTATAACTTGCAACATACCTACGTATTTAACATCTGTCTCTTCCATTTTATAAATGAGATCTGAAGTCGGCACTCGTCACCAGCCACAGTGCTCTTCTGCTTGGTGCGTGCATACTCATTCTTGACTGAGAATCTGGGAAAGCCCCCCAGGTTCTGCTGGAAACGTTGACATTCTTCCCTTTGCTCCCAGCGTTCCCTGTACTCATCTTTACCAAGAGTTTAATGCCTCTGAATCTGAATTCAAATTTGAGTTATAATTGTTGATGAGACTGGGAACCAGTGTAGCATTGTAGTTAATTACAGATCATGGAGTCAGAAGACCCAGCCTCAACCCTTGGATTAGGTGGCCACGGGTAGCCAACCTTGCTAACCCTGTGCTCTCATCTGCATAAGTGGAGTAATGCCTAGGCACGTGGTTATTCTAATGCAAGTAAAGCACGAAAAATGGTTTCCGACACATACCAAGTGTGCAATAAATGCTAGGTACTGCTATTGTTAGCTGTCTGAGAGAAGGAACTATACCTTTCAACTCATATCCCTATCAACTTGGCATAGAGCAGGGACCATAAGCTGGTCAGGGCTGGTAGGCGAGGTTCACGCTTTCATCCGTGTCCTGGGTGCCTTCTTTTGGCTCTGCTCTCCTTAGTGTGTCTTTCATTCTCCTTGTGAGATGGCTGCTGCAGCTCCGGCTAGTGTGTGTGTTTTCCTGCAGGAAGAAGGATTGGTGAAAAGAGCACATGCTAAACAAGCGAGCTCTCTTTAAAGAGCCTCAGAAGCCCCACACAAAGACTTAACCTTATATCCCTTTAGCCAGATGTTCCACCACGTGATCATGCCTGCATTCAAGGAGGCCAAGAAATGTCTCAAATGGGCATATTGCCAAGCAAAATTGGAGTTCTGTTTAATAAGAAGGGGAGATTGGGTATTGAGTTGACAACGAATAGTCTCTCTTCCAGCCAGTTGGTTTTTTAAAAGAATGAAGTCCACACTGGAGGAGACAGGACAGGACCCAGGAGCATTTTGGTTCCTACTTCTAGTTGTTTCTGATGCCCACAGCCATGCCTGCTGGTAGGCTTGGCTGCATTTCATCGTCCAATAACTTTCTCTTTGTGCTGAAGTTAGTTCAGGTAGGTTTCTCAACCAGGAACCAAACAAAGCAATATTTCCTGAGTTTCCCATCTATCATACCATCTAATAGGAGCACACTTTTACCATTTACTCTAAACCATAGTTAGGTGCTTAATAAAGGCAGCCATTACTGGTTTCTCATAGCAGACAGGAATGGCTCAATGCACCATAAATGCCAGTAGATACAGAGGATACAAGAATGATAAAAATAAGAATTACAGCGCTGCTATAGCCAGTTGGGTTCAGGGTTTGCAGAAGCCTTCCTGCCGTCTGAGATAGTTATGCACAAGTTCCCCAGAGCTGCCAATTTCACGGGCCTCCAGCTTGGGACTCCCACTGCCTGGGTCCTGTAAGCAACATGTCATGATCCACTACCCAGGGCTTTGCTTCTACATATATTTCGAGATCAATAATTCAAGTTAACAAATATTGAGTACCTACTGGGTGCCAGACACTCTTGTGTGTGCCTGGGGATCATTGGTGAGCAAAATACGCACATTCCTGCCCTCACAGAGTTTACATTATAGTGAGGGGTAGCAGGGAAGACAATAAACAAAAATAAATTGTACAGTATGTTAGCAGGTAGTCAATTCTATGGGGAAAAAAGACCAAAGGGGACAGCTGGCATGGGGCTGGGCTGATTGGGTGTAGTAGTAAATGAGGTATGAAGATGGGTTTCAATGGGGTGGTTAGATTAGATAAAAACTGTAGAGGTGAGGGAGCTAGTCAAGCAGATATATAGGGAAAGGGCATTAAAGAGGGAGCAGCTTAGAGCGGGTGCCCTCATGTGCCCAGCATGTTCAAGAACACGAAGGCAGGAGCAGTTATGGCTGACCGAGTGGGAGAGGAGAAGGCGGAGAGGTAAGAAGCGGTCGCACCAAGGAGGGCCTTGCAGGCTATTGTCAGGACTTGGGCTTTTACTCTGAGCGGTATGGGGAGCCATTGCAGAGTTTCTCACAGAAGAGAGGCTTATATGTTCTAAAGAGGACTGGCTTGGCTGTCATGTTGAAATAGAGCATAGGGGACCCAGGGTAGAAGCAGGCAGACCCATCAGGAAGCCTCGTGCAGCTACTCGGGTAAGGAGTGATGGAGGCAATGGAAAGTGGTCGGATTATGAACAGAGGAGGAGTTTTACTCATCAGCCACTTAGACCTTGCCCTTCTCCATCCACCCATCCACCCATCCACCCATCCACCCATCCACCCATCCACCCATCCACCCATCCACCCACCCACCCACCCATCCACCCATCCACCCACCCATCCACCCATCCACCCATCCACCCATCCACCCATCCATCCATCCATCCATCCATCCATCCATCCATCCATCCATCCATCCAACAATTACTTACTGAAAGCCTACTTTGTGTAAGGCACTGTTCTCAGCTCTGAGAATACAAGTGTGAACTAGACCGGCAAGCTGTTCTATGGAACTTACATTCTAGTCAGTGGACGTAGACAGTAAATAAATTCAGAAGCATGGTAATGGTCTACAATGGGAACGGCTGTAAAGGAATCAACAGTGTGATCTCAGGAAAAGTGCCGGAGTGGAAGCTAGAAAAGGCCTCAGAGGAGGTGTCATTTGAAACAAGACCAGAAAAGAAGGGGTCTACTGTGCTAAAACTCAGGAGAAAAGCATTGAGGGGAAAGGGAAGTTGCTTTGCGTCTTTAATTGCAGATAGAAGACCAGTGTTGTTGAAACACAGGGAGCTGGAGAAAGACGGCAGCAGTGGCTACCTCTTCCCCCGTGACCAACACAACACCTGGCCCTCTTCCTACACTCAAGGTCCAGATGGCTTTTTTTCTGGTTTCATGTTACACAACACAGTCTGATAACCATAGCATTGATTTATGCAAAAGTCTAAACAGAAACTAGCAGGTGAACATTCTGTTCCAGACAGTTGTTGTTACTGTTATTAGCAAGAACTAGAAGCTGAGGAAATACAGTTAAGGGGAGATCAAACACACAGCAGTTATGTTTGAACCTGATCCCAAATCAAAATCTATCTCATTCAGAATCCCTTTTTTTTTTTTTTTTTTTTTTGCGGTACGCGGGCCTCTCACTGTTGTGGCCTCTCCCGTTGCGGAGCATAGGCTCCGGACGCGCAGGCCCAGCGGCCATGGCTCACGGGCCCAGCCACCCCGCGGCATGTGGGATCTTTGCGGACTGGGGCATGAACCCGTGTCCCCTGCGTCGGCA